AAAACTCCTGGAAAAGGAGTAACCTGTACTTAATATGGTGTGGTGTGTTGTTATATTTAAAAATACCACATTTAATGTCTTCCTTTCACACATTTAATACCTAGATGTGCTAAAAGTACAGGCTGCTATTTAAACAACACAAAATTTAGACTAATATGAGTGACAACTGCAGTTTGGTTAAATCCAAATAATAACACTTAAAAAAGTTAAAACAGTTGTAGATGTTTCAGCTTAACTGCTTTTGCTCTGCATAAGTATTTGTTTATGTGGTTATTTTAAGTTAAAGGTGTTATTTTTATTTTAGTTGTTTGGTAGATTAAGCAGCATTTGCTATTGTATTTCAGGTGGTTGCAATGAAACTGGTAGTTGGTTTCTGTGGTATTCTGAGTGGTTGCTAGGTTGTTGCTAAGCAGTTGATATGGCACTCCTGTCACGCATCGGGAAGATTCGGACTTCATTTCCCAGCATGCATGTGGAGATCACATGTCAAAACAACTTCCCTCAGACTCGGAAACCGAAACAGACTCCATTGCCCACAATCCTTCAGGAGATCACATGACATCAGACAATAGCACATGCACCTATCAGCGCTCCCGATCGCCTGAATACTAATGTTGTGCACCTGTGTATCTTGTCATATGACCGTATTAGTTCAGTATATAAGCCCGGGCTTTAGATGTAGACATTGTGAGGTATTGTTTATTCCAAGAACTTACTGAGTGTTATATTTCTGATTGTCTTTGCCTGTTATGACCTGTGCTTTGTTTCCCTGACCTTGTTTTTTGCCTAACCCCTTGGTACTTCTGCCTGCTGTTTGTGAATCTGTGCTTTTGACGTTTTGGCTTGTTCTTTGACCATGATTTTTGCTTTATCCCTTTGATCTTGACTGCCTGGTATTATTATCACGATTGTGATCTGGCTGGCTTTTTTTGGATTTGACCCACGCCTGTTTTCTGACCACGGCTTTGCCTGACGATAATAAAACAACTGTTGCTCCTTTTATCCGCGAGCGTCTGAATCCTGTTGAATCGTCACACTCCAGGTGGTTGCTAGACTGTTTCTAATTGATTGCTTTAAAATCTCAACAGATCTTTTCACTCAATAGGCTCTTTTCACAGGAAACAGAAGTGCATAAATGCTGGGTAAAATAAGTTCTGCTATTGCCTTTCAGACAGTTGCTTATCTCAGAAATACAGGCATCGAATCACTTCACCACAGAAATAGTTCACCACAGAAAGGTGTGCCACTTCATCTTTGTCGTAGCTGCCAAGATTGAATTTCGAGGATGTGTCCAGAATTGTTGGAGAACCAAACACACAACAATGTGGGAGTCCTTCACAGCTATCAGAGTACAGTCAAATCTATAGAGTGATAAATCGTGGATATGTAAAAATAACTATAATCAAAACGCTCGATTGGCCTTGTTAGCTGGAGATGTTGAAACAGCTCACTAACAAAAACCTAGTTAAAGCAGCAAAAAGCTAAACACGTGCACATCCCAGCGGGGGTGCGGCGGGTCATCAGCGTCCGTAGCGCCACTGTAGATGTTTTCTTATTTGCATTTATAATCACTCCAGCTGTTGTCCTGATACATTTAATCTGCAATGAGAAACTGTCAAACAAAAGTCATGAAGCTAAAGTCGCTTCTTGTTCAAATTCCACCTTTAATGGTGCAGAACCACCGGCACCAGTGAACGAATGTCTCTCTGCCGAGCACTCGCTCTCTCAGACACTGATCATTTTTGAGGGAGAAAATGAAAACTATTCCTCTGAAAGTGGCTGCATTGCTCATCTTCATCTGACAAAATACTGAAACTGAAGATCTAATACTTCAGAATAATACATAAGCAGTGTCACCCTGCAACAAGAACCTCCAGCAGAAAAACTGCGTAAATGTGAAAAGGGTCTATTGCTAGGTGATTGATATGGTGTTTCAGGTGGTTGCTAGGGTGTTGCTAGACAATTGCTTTGGTGCCTCATTTGTGACGGGTACCAAATTAAGCCATTGATTCTTATGGGAAACAATGGCCACTGTGCGAAAACCACACCTTGCATTGGTCCAAAAAAAAAACAGAAGCACATGATTAAGGTGTAGTTCATACAATCCTGAAATACCTGCAGCTCGAAAACAACAATAATAAGAAGAAGAAAACAAAGAACAGTGAATCAACTTCATAATAAAACATGTTAATTCTGTCTCTCGTTCTCTTCATCTGTGTGTCTGTCTTTCCTCTGTAGGTGTTTTCTGGCCAGGCTGAATTAACGATATCAGGATTTGAGGGTCAGGTGTCCGACGTCTACGTTTGGGACTCGGCTCTTTCCGTGAAGCATCTCTACTGTTACCTCACTCTCAATCACAGCTTCCCGCCCGGCAGCATTCTGGACTGGAAGCACATTCAGTACAGCACCAGCGGCTACGCTCTGCTGGAGCCCACTTACGTTAGACCCTTTTGAGAGAAGCCCACCAGACGGAGGAAGCAGAAACGAGAACGTGGCCTGAGAAGATATTAACGAAGCTTTTATGAACATTTACAACACAATACACAATCTGTATGATGAAACAGGGGGTCTAAAGCCCCCGGTTTAGAGTGCTTTACAGGAGGTCAGACATAAAGTGATCTAAAGCATAAGAGCCTTTATTTCTCTTATTTACACCTCAGTTTGGGCTCCAGACTGACATGTAAAACGGCTGAACTTCACCCAGTGACCACTCAAATCTCAGCAAATATCTTTTCGCTGATGTTTTACCAATGTTCTTCACTCGTATGCTTTTTGTAGCCATCTGGACGTCCACTCTTGTTTCTTACAGAACACTTATAGTTATGTGATACTCTTGCATGTAGAGCATGTTTAAGACCTGCTACACAATTAAAAAGATGGTCCTTTAAGTGTTCTTTAGTAAAGGCAATGGTTCTTTAAGGATCATAAACGCTCAAAGAACCCTTTTCATGCTTAAATGGTTCTTTGCATGGTGAGATGGCTTTTCAGATTGATGGAGAATGTGTTGTATATGGTTCTATGTAGAACCTTTTTAAAAATGGTAGCACTAAAAGGGGTTATTCTACTGTTATAAGCTTGCCATCGTAACAATAGCAGAACCCTTTTTGGTGCGATATAGAACCGTTGTCAAAAAGGCAATATATAGAACCATTTCCTTTACTAAAGAACCCTTGAAGAGCTCACAGTAGATACTGTGCTAAATTGCTTCGAGTCTCCATTTTAATAAAAAGCCCTTAAAAAGCTTTTACGCTTGTTTATTTTTAGAGTGAAGAATTGTCTGTGGTAATTCACCTTTAAAGGGGAACTCCACCAATTTTTCAAATATTCTGCATATTTAAGTGGTTAAGATGTAATCAGAGCGGTTCAGAGTGGTTCAGAGTGGTTTGGCGTGAAACGCTCTGTTCTAGATAAACTTACCGAGTCAGAACTGCTCACAGTGGTGGTGATAGGAACCAGACGTCCACCTCTAAAAGCTCCCTCACAGAAAGTTCCTACATGAAATGGTTATGAATTCACTGCCTGATGTCTGAGACACTGTTTGATCTTTCAGAGATCAGGTTTTGATGTACAAGAGGGAAGTAGGAGTAAGTTGTGGAAAGGCACAGCAGAACCCAAAGAAGACCTTTTGCATACAAGTGCATGCCAGCCCTGTAGGAGGCGATAATACCCATAGAATTTTATACTCCTAAAGAATAACAAGTACAGAATTACAGAAATACAGCAGACTTTGACCTGCAGGCTATCAGACCTCTGTAATTCTATATTTCACACAGATTCAAAGTCTGATTTTGCTTGAAAAGGAAAAGCTGAAGAAAGCCTACCTCTTATTCAGGGGTTACTTATGTCGCTAAGCTACTGTCTCTGAAACGTTCACACAGTCCTGATCAGGCAGAGAAACTGAGTTTTTCTAAGCTTTTTCCCCTGATTTGAATTATGAAGTTAGGATTATTTCTAATCTGACTTTGGTTAATGATTGTTATTCTAAAGATATAAATAACAATGGCAATTAAGCATTTTAAAACTTAAATATCAAACTTAAAACCTTAAAAATTAAAAATAAAATCAAAACCTCAAAAGAAATCTCTTCAATCCTCTGCAATGAACCGTTTCACATAAAAACACCATGAATGACTCAAAAATCTCCTTTATTTATCAATTTCATCAAGCAAAATATTGTATAAATTAAGCTGTGTATAAATCCATCCTGGTTAAAAATACAGAACTGCCGTTTTTCTCTTGGATTGAGATAATTGTTGGAACAGCTTCTCATGTAACATGTATGATCTAATCAGGTGAACTGGGGTCAGGAACAAAGGGTCAGCTGTGTTAGTAGAGAGTCATTCACATTAATGTAGTATAATTAAATTCATTCATATTAGTTTATTATTCATTAACAAATTTAGGGACATTTCTGCTCCTGTACGTGTTTGAAAGGTCAGCAATGCTGACTGTGGGAAATTTCACCTTTTTGTCTCTGGTTTTTTATGTTCCTGACACTGATATATTCACACTGTAGATGCTGCCATACAGGAAACCCACAGTGAGAATGATCTACCTGCTACATCCTTACAGTCAGACTGAGTGCTGAGGAGCCTGTCAGTGATCCAGCTTTCATTCAGACTTTGAGGGTTTGTTTTCTAGGCTCAACATGGATCGAGCAGTGCTGAACTGCTGCTGCTGGACGTTCAGATGATGGACGATGCTACTGTGAACCATCTCCTCTCCACCTTCATGCTGGTTTGTAAACTGTCCGTAGTGACCTGCACCTGCCTTTTCACCTTCCCTCGGCGCTGTAGGGCTTTCTGTCTAAGGAACGTCACCATCCCTGGTTTAGTCCACCAACCCAGCATAGTGCTGTTTCTGATTCCAGTGGTTTTGAATTTAAAGTAAGTAAAATAGTTTAGCCAGACTATGTAAGCCAAAAGCCAAGCGTCTCCAATAGAAAAAAAGAGCTGAGGGGCATTTCTATTGGACAGTCCTCATCTTTGGAAACTGGCCCAAAACAGTTTAGATGAAAGTGAAATACAGCAGCTTCATTTAGTGAAGTGAGGAACATAAAGTCCTTCGGGAGAGAAAGACGGTGAGTCTGTTTGTCTGAGCTGTAGTTTATTACTATATTAATATGCAGTAGATAAAGATCAGTTCAGTGGGTTTTTACTGAAGTTTTCTTAACCGAACTAACTTTCTGACCTGATGACCTGAATATTTCCCTGTAAGTGAACAGCCTGATGAGGCAGATTTTATATCATGTATGATTTTATAATATCGTTGTTCCTTCTGTTAAGAAATCCTCATATTTTTTTACTCAGTAGTTTTTGCTTGATTCCGTTGTTTTGATGTGACAGCACTCAGTAGAGAACTGACCCTTTTCACAAACAGTTATGTTTACCTTCAGTTAGCATTAGCTTCCAGCAGGCTGAACAGCCCAGATAGTGAGCTTATCTCTGCCTGCTGGTTTGGTGACCACTGCTGGTCCACCCAGATTACTGTCCTGCATATGAATTATATGTATTAATCTCCTTAAACAGATTTTAAATACACACCACTTTTTATTATGGAAAATAAACTAAGTCAAACATTACAAACAACTGAGAGAAAAAAAATTACTAAGCCTAATATAAATTGATTTTGTTAAAAATGTTGCTGATACTGCACTAAATTAAAATGATTTACTAAATTAATATGCAAAAGATAGCAAAAGAAAGAAATGAAGGGAAATATAAATAACTTGAGTGATGAAAAGTGGCATTTTGTCTGACACTCTGCGTATCGTAGCGATCAAACACTAACCTTCGACATCCATATTTTAGTTTTTGTTTACTGTCACAACAAACAGTGAGAGTAAGAGTCAGATCAAAGTGCTGAACAGAGCTAAAATGCTGTGTGTGGGGTAGCCCTGTTTACTGCTGCTCACATCATGCTTACATGATGGGCTGGTCAGCTAGCTAACAGGCTAATCAACTCCTCTATTATCACAACCTGAGAATTAAAGTACTTTCTGTATGATTCACTGTTAAACTGCAGTATAAATAAGTGTCTTACACGTTTCAAAAGTGATTTAGTTCTACTCTAAATATTATTGAACTCAGGCTGAACCTCAAATAGTGTTCAGTGTAAGTTCTGAAATTCTGGCTTCTGCACCAGTGCACTATTTGTCCAGTATGGACATGACTGAATCTCTAATGACTGTTTGTCAGATTATTGATGCTATTATATATTAATATTATGCAATGTTTGGGTTCAGGAGGCAGTATTTTAATTTATTTGTAGTGCACTATGTAGGGAGCTATTTGAGGTTCAGCCTCAGCCTGGGGATAAAGGACGTTAGCTTGATGCTAAATAAGACTGGAAATCACAGAGACACTAAAGTAAATTAATAAAACTTTCTATGAATGTCGCATTTGTAAGCATCTATAAACACATTTATAACATGTTATAATGTATTCATAAGGCGTTATAAATGTGGTTATAAATATTTATAAAAAGAATTACACTGAATTACACTTTATAGCCATGTTTATTATACATTATGAATTGTTAATATAATGGATTATAAGTAGTGTTAATAACATGTTATAATGTCAGTGCCAAAGAAGTCAGTCCCAGCTTGGAGAGCGTAAAGACAAATACCAAGCTAACGGTGGTGAACATTACCTTTCCCACATTGGGTAAAACACTGATGGCAGCTCTAGTTTAAACTCTGACATTTGAAGCCTGTAATGAGCTTTACTGTGAATGTTTTAGTGTTTCAGTAAATCCTTCAGTAAATACTTCAACTTGAAGCCTCACTCTGAACACTGGAGGAGGCTTTAGTACAGTACGCTTCACTTTACTTAGAGCGGACAAATATGACTTATGAGCTCTTATAATTTGTTATGATCAGTACTTATAATGCATTACATTAACAACTCATAATGCATAATAAACATGGCTATAACGTATAATGCATTTTTATAAATATTAATAGCTATGTTTATAATGTCTTATGAATGCATTATAACATGTTATGAATGTGTTTATAGATGCTTACAAAAGACATTCATAGAAAGTGTTACCCATTTTATCAACACTACTTAATATAATGCATTATAACAATTCATAATGTATAATAAACATGGCTATAAAGTGTAATTAATTTTTATAATTTATAATTTTTATAATGTTTATAATCATGTTTATAATGCCATATGAATGCATCATAACATGTTATAAATGTGTTTATAGATGCTTACAAACGTGACATTCATAGAAAGTGTTACCGTGTACTGTACTAAAGCCTCCTCCCGTGTTAAGACTGAGGCTTCAAGCTGAAATATTTACTGAAGGATTTACTGAAACACTAAAACGTACACAATAGAGCACATTACAGGCTTCAAATGTCAGAGTTTAAACTAGGGCTAGGGCCGTTAGCTTGGTATTTGTTTTTACTTTACGCTCTCCAAGCTGGGACTGACTTCTTTGGCACTGACATTATAACGTCATTACCACTACTTGCATTATATAAACAATTCATAATGTATAATAAACATGGCTATAAAGTGTAATTCAGTGTTCTGAGCGTTATAAAAAAATATTTTTTATTAATATTTATAACCATGTTTATAATGCCTTATGAATACATTATAACATGTTATAAATGTGTTTATAGATGCTTACAAATGCGACAACCATAGAAAATGTTACCAATAATTCCTTAGTAATGCATTAGGAACATCTAATAAACATTACTAAACATTTATAAGGTCTTGTTTAGTGAATTTAATATACCTGATGTAAAGTGAAAACCAATCAATCCTTAGTAATGCATTAGGAACATCTATTAAACATTACTTAACATTTACAAGGTTTTCTTCAGTGAATTTAATATACCTGATGTAAAGTGAAAACCAATCAATCCTTAGTAATGCATTAGGAACATCTATTAAACATTACTTAAGGTTTATAAGGTCTTGTTCAGTGAATTTAATATACCTGATGTAAAGTGAAAACCAACAATTCCTTAGTAATGCATTACAAACATCTATTAAACAATACTAAACATTAATAAGGTTTTGTGAATTGACTGTACCTGATATAAAATGAAAGATTAGTACTGTATTACGAAAGTAGTAGATACTTTAATGCTATAATCTGAAAGCATTACACAATGAAAAACAACAAACAATGTTTACTTTCACATACAGCTACCCAATAGAAATAGAAAAGAGGGTAAAATTGACAAAACATAGGCTTTTTATTACTGACCTGTGACCATGTTTTAACAGAACTCTGCAATAAACACGTTTTCAATATACCTTTTAAATAAACCATTTTTTCTGTATATACGAAACATTCAGTTCACAGCATCTTTAAACTAGAATTTGCCTAACTTACCACAAAATTACATGTTGCAACTGAAAAAGAGGTTCCCTGAGTTTTAAAAAGCACCACATCCACATAATGTTAGCCTAGTTGTTCTTTTAAATAGGAAGCAATTTCCCCTCTATTTCAGATTTGAAATTTTCTCAGCAGTGCTTTTGTCTGACTCTATTGTATCTTTGCACTTTTTAGCAAAGTCTAACAACTTCTCTTTTTTTCCACATTCATCACAAAGCTTGCGGTATGTCTCTGGTGCAGCAAGGGATAGCTCTGCAATGGAAGCAGTCTGTGCAATTGTGTTGTGGTCTACCCCATATTATTTTGTGTTTCCTTTCATATATATGGCCAGCACTTTTTCATATCTTCATATCACCTCAGCAGGATCACCAACTAAAGAAAAGAGAAGACAGAAACACTGACATCGCTCTCTAAAAGAAACCTGTTTAAAACTCAAATAGAAAGTGTTTAAGTGGATGTTGTATAAATTAGTACCATTACATTAGTTAATCTTATTCAGTTAATGCAAAAATGGTACCTCCATATATTATTCATTGTAGCTAGCTCTGACTATGCAGCTATTGTTCAGTGGTAGTAGCAAATAAACAAAGGAACAGACAATCATTAACAGTACTGTGTTACCCACAGCTGGTATATACACTATATGGACAAAAGTATTGGAAAACCTGGTCATTCATTTGGACATATAGGGTGTGTCTCAAAACCTAGTGAGCCCTACAGAGACAGCATTTTACGTCACAATATGCGCTCCCGACAAGAAGGCTGTCCCAATTCTTAGATATCTCAAATATGCTGCCTACTGAGGTCTCATTTTGGCCCAATATCGAGAGAGCATCGGATGTTTCCTCAGCCGCTGAGGCAATCCCGCGATGCAGCGCAGCACAACTGTTCTTTGAAGATGGCGGACAGAAGCGCTTTGCTAAGCAGCAACGTAATCTTCAAAACGTAAGTTATTCTGGTTTTCTGGTCATAAAGGTGCACAAATAGCCCATAGTTTACAATTTAGGTCCATCAATGACCATTTTACAGTTTTTGAACCACCAGTCCATTAGCATGCATGCTAGCGGATTTTGAAGCTTTAGGCATGCTTTGAATAGCCAGTTAGCCAACAAACTTGCTGGCTAATGTCCAAGTAGCTTAACTAGTGACCGGTTTTGTTAAACGTTAACGTTAACTAATGATGAGGTAGCGCAATCTAATTGTTGATCTGTTTGCTTGTGTTTTGAATGATTTGGCAGAATAATGAGGGTTAAATGGTGCTTTTCTGTAAATTCAATAATGGTTAGATGGCTAACACTAGCTATTTAGTTGTCCATGTTCGCGTACACGCATTGTTTCCCCCTTTCCAAGGATCAGATCAGCACTAAGTAGAAGTAATTTGCTTGTGTGGTTGAGCACTTTCCTATTCTGGTTAGAATTTAAGTTACCTATTCTCTAAAAAAAGGAAAAAAAAAAATATTTTATTTGCTTGTTAATAGGACCATCCTTTGAAATTGGGGCTTCAGAAAAAGGTGGCACAAACTAAAAAAGAAATACAAGGTGAATTCCAAGACAGAGGTGAAGATTCATAGAAGATTAGTATTGTAATTAAAAACTTTTTTTAAATTTATCTCTTTTAAACCTGCATTTTAAGCATCATTTAAATATTTAAAAATGCTTGAGTATAATTCAGCTCGGCAAAGGAAAGCAAACTGAGGTTAGATTACACTGTAGAACTACAGAGTGAAACTACACGGTCAGTGGAGCTGAGAAAAAGGATAAAGAATGTAGGTACAAAGAGGTGGACTTAAGGAAGTGGCTGGTCCGTGTGTATATGAATATTTATGTAGTTTGGTTGTTAATTGATTATTTAAATAATTACTGTATTATTGTATATAGCTGTATAAATAGTTTTATTGCTAGTGAATGACAAACTGTATATTTATTTATTAATTTGTGTACTTGTGTGTAACCAGTCAGCAGAATCCAGATGCTTGCAGATTAAACTGATAAGATCGTTTTTATTAACTCTAGGCAAAAACATTGTCAAAATACAGGCGGGGGTCAAAACCGAGAAATTTAATAGGATCACGAAAGTGACCATAACTCGAGGCGATCAAAACAAAAGGGCAAGGCAAAAGATGAGGTCAAAAAAGCAGGCAAAAAGATTCCAAACACAGATCCAAAATCCGGGCAACAGTACAAAAAGGAACAGGCAAAGGGCAGAGTCAAAAACGAAGCACTGGTCAGTAATCAGAATAATACAAGAAGCACTGGTCAGTAATCAGAATAATACAATCAGAAATAACACTCAGTATGTTCTCAGGGAAGCAATACCTCACACTGATACGGGCTTATATACTACTCTAACCAGATCATATGACATAGACACACAGGTGAAGCCAGTCAATTCTCAGGAGATTGGGAGCGCTGATAGGTGTGTGAGAGCTTGTCAGAAGTCATATGATTCCCTTATGGGTAATGGAGTCCACTTCAGACTCCGATTGAGAAGGGAAGTTCGAAGTCACGTGATCTTCCAAAGGAGCTTGGGAAATGAAGTCCGATTCAGTCTGGGAGTTCGTACAATGAGTGACATTGTGTATCATTGTTCTGTTTGGTTAATGCAAGTTATCTGCAGTAGTGTGAGGTTTGTGTACATTTTAATTTGATGTATGTATTAGCGTGTATGTCGTTAAAATATTCAAAACAAATAAAACCGTATCTGTTTTTAAAAGTCATTTTCTCAAACGGGCAGCTAGAAGATGAATGAACTTTGTATGATGTGGAGAAAGGGTTTACTGTTGATCTCCGCCCGCTCCAGACTGCTTAGAGGAAAGTTTACATTTGTAAATTATAACTGTTCAAGAGCAGCAAGTAGTGCTCGAATTCTTTAATTTCAGCATTTGACCACAACTGTTGTCTATTTTGCTGTTTCATTCAGAGCAAATGCAATTAAAATCGCTATATAAACTGCCAGAGCAGATCCATGTTGGCTAATTGTGTTTCTGGCGGCTGAGGTAAGTAAGCGTCGGTCTCGTGCAGTGGGCGGGAACAAGTGGTGACGTCACTGCTGTCTAATTAGAGCGTCTCAGTTATCTGTCTTATAAGGATAGATGACGGTTGGAATGCTGCCTACTTAGACAGCTGCCTATGTAGAGAGCTCACTAGGTTTTGGGACACACCCATAGTGTAGCATGATCAACCCACCCCTATGCTGTACAGTTAGCAAGGTGTTCTTTTCATAAAATGTGGTTTCTCTTTTTCTCCAAATGTTCTTATGTAATCTTACGTAATTATGTAATAATTATTTGCGTAATGTGTCAGGGGCACGTGCTTACCACGATGGAAGGTGACCCCTTTCTTCTCCTTCTTCCTTCTTGCTTTTTCTTCTCAAATGAGGAATCAGTTGTGACAGAATCAGAGAAGGATTGTGAAGAATCAAATGAGCTGGAATCTATGATGACTGTTTTTCTTTCTTTTGATTTCATCCTCCTCATTCTCCCCCGTGATCTTGTTGGCTAAAATCAACATCAACAACAACAAGAAATGAGTAAACAAACATGAACACTTTTACATATTCATCTAAAGCCTGAGTAGACTGATAAATCAATGTGATGATCAGTTATTAATCTCAGCGTTACTGAGCTCTGCTAAAGCCTGAGTAGACTGATAAATCAATGTGATCAGTTATTAATCTCAGCGTTACTGAGCTCTGCTAAAGCCTGAGTAGACTGATAAATCAATGTGATCAGTTATTAATCTCAGTGTTACTGAGCTCTGCTAAAGCCTGAGTAGACTGATAAATCAATGTGATGATCAGTTATTAATCTCAGCGTTACTGAGCTCTGCTAAAGCCTGAGTAGACTGATAAATCAATGTGATCAGTTATTAATCTTAGCGTTACTGAGCTCTGCTAAAGCCTGAGTAGACTGATAAACCAACGCGATCGATTATTAATCTTAGCGTTACTGAGCTCTGCTAAAGCCTGAGTAGACTGATAAACCAATGCGATCGATTACTAATCTCAGCGTTTCTGAGCTCTGCTAAAGCCTGAGTAGACTGATAAACCAACGCGATTGATTATTAATCTTAGCGTTACTGAGCTCTGCTAAAGCCTGAGTAGACTGATAAACCAACGCGATCGATTATTAATCTTAGCGTTACTGAGCTCTGCTAAAGCCTGAGTAGACTGATAAATCAATGTGATCAGTTATTAATCTCAGCGTTACTGAGCTCTGCTAAAGCCTGAGTAGACTGATAAATCAATGTGATCAGTTATTAATCTCAGCGTTACTGAGCTCTGCTAAAGCCTGAGTAGACTGATAAATCAATGTGATGATCAGTTATTAATCTCAGCGTTACTGAGCTCTGCTAAAGCCTGAGTAGACTGATAAATCAATGTGATCAGTTATTAATCTCAGTGTTACTGAGCTCTGCTAAAGCCTGAGTAGACTGATAAATCAATGTGATCGGTTATTAATCTCAGTGTTACTGAGCTCTGCTAAAGCCTGAGTAGACTGATAAATCAATGTGATCAGTTATTAATCTCAGCGTTATTGAGCTCTGCTAAAGCCTGAGTAGACTGATAAATCAATGTGATCAGTTATTAATCTCAGCGTTACTGAGCTCTGCTAAAGCCTGAGTAGACTGATAAATCAATGTGATGATCAGTTATTAATCTCAGCGTTACTGAGCTCTGCTGAAGCCTGAGTAGACTGATAAATCAATGTGATGATCAGTTATTAATCTCAGTGTTACTGAGCTCTGCTAAAGCCTGAGTAGACTGATAAATCAATGTGATGATCAGTTATTAATCTCAGTGTTACTGAGCTCTGCTAAAGCCTGAGTAGACTGATAAATCAATGTGATCGGTTATTAATCTCAGCGTTACTGAGCTCTGCTGAAGCCTGAGTAGACTGATAAATCAATGTGATCGGTTATTAATCTCAGCGTTACTGAGCTCTGCTAAAGCCTGAGTAGACTGATAAATCAATGTGATCGGTTATTAATCTCAGCGTTACTGAGCTCTGCTAAAGCCTGAGTAGACTGATAAATCAATGTGATCAGTTATTAATCTCAGTGTTACTGAGCTCTGCTAAAGCCTGAGTAGACTGATAAACCAACGCGATCGATTATTAATCTTAGCGTTACTGAGCTCTGCTAAAGCCTGAGTAGACTGATAAATAAACTTTATCAGTTATTAATCTCAGTGTTGCTGAGCTCTTTTGAGATTATCACACTAATAATTCAGTAGTCGATATGCTTACAAGTGATCTTAGCATCAATGTTGTGGAGCAGCAGTAGACTGAAGCAGAAGCTGAGACAAAAAAAATATTAAGAATTTGTAAGCTTCATTTAAATCATAAGTGGATTTTGCACAAAGATTCCAGGAAAAAAGATTCTCCATGTACCATATCAGTATGCATTGTAAATGCATTCTAAATGTATTCTGAATATGTTAGTTTTCTTTATATATTGTAATGGAATACATTACTGCACACATTTTAGACAGTGTAGTATTTAGTATTCAGCCAACACTACTTTCTCAAAGTTTCCCAACATTGTCAGTGTGCAGTTCTGGTCTTGTGTGATGTGTTTTGTTATTTAACTGGTTCAAACAGAATCATATTGTATGAACTCTCTGCACCATACAGTGACAAAATTCAGTTTTCACAAATTATTGTATAGTTTTGAGTGTTTCATTTTGCATACAATCTGAGGTGTTTTGCTCTGTGTGTGTATGGCTGTATAATTGTGTGTAGTGTTTAGACAAAATGAGCCCTGTTTTCAAAATCATGCTTAAGCAATTGTAAAAAACTGTATAAATACACATGCTAAACACACACACACACACACACACACACACACACACACACAACATACATACACTACATACACATTAAACACACATTAAATATACACACTACACTCAAACTATGCAAACACTACACAGACATACAGACTATACACACGCTAAACACACATGCACATTAAATATACACACTACACATTCTAAACACTCACATTACACACACACACACACACAAATCTTCCCTCTCTCTTTGTCTTACTCTCCTCTTTTTGTACTTTCTCTCTCTCTTTGTCTCTCTTTGTCTCTCTGTCTCTCTCTCTCCCTCTCTCTCTCAGTGAAACTCTGTTTAGTGAAGAGAGGAACTCGGTGAGTCTCGGGGAACGCTGGCCTTTTTGTGATGAGAGGATTAAAAATAGTTATTGTATGTGAAGTCACTGAAGTACCACAGTACACGTCCTGCCTTAGTGACTAGAGACTTTTCAGATGGAAACGTCCACCCCAGCTCACACTGGTCCTGTTCAGACCAACATGACAGCTAAGACAGGAGGAGCCATCTGTGCTCCTGTTCTCCAGGGGAATAATATTCAAGGCCCAGTGAATGTTACCTTTATTCAGAGAGGTGAGTGATGTAGTATAAGAAACTGTATGTAAATAAATGGTTGTTTTTTAGGTTATATATAAGTTTATCATATACACATATTTGATGAATTATTTATGCATCAGTCTTTTTTTATTTTGGAGGTGGTATACAGAAATACAGCTCACTGATTACTGTTAGTTTTAAGCTGCTTTGATAAAGTTCTAATATTTCCAGTTGTCTCTCCTCCAGTTCAGGAAGTTTCCAGTTCAAGCCCCAGTGCAGTTCAGGCTGGAGGCTCTCCTGGTGCTGCTGCTCTCACTGAAGGTAACATCTTAATGTACCATCACTGGTTACGTACTATTTATTCATTTCAAAGTTCTGTAAATAAACACGTTTTCTATCTAAACCTAAACAATATTAACAGGGGAACACATGTCATTGATAAGCCTACCATGCATTTTAAGGAGAGAAAATACATCAAAATATCTATATTTATATCAGTGGTGACAGGTCTGGCCTGCAGGCAGGACTCTTTTAATATGGAGCAATGCTGCTGTAATACATGCAGAATGTGGTTTGACATTGTCTTGCTGAAATAATCAAGGCCTTCCCTGAAAAAGACGTCATCTGGATGGCAGCATATGTTTCCAAAACATGTATATATCATTCAGCATTAATGGTGCTTCACAGATGTGCAGGTTACCCATGCCATGTGCACTAATGCCCCCTATACCATCATGAATTTGTGGATGCAGTGGTGAACTGTTTTCACAGACAGTGGTTTTCAGAAGTATTTCTGAGCCCATGCAGTGATTTCCACTACAGAATCATGTCTGTTTTTAAAGCAGTGCTGTCTGAGGGCCCAAAGATCACAGCCATCAAATACTGGTTTTTGGCCTTGTCCCTTACATACAGAGATTTATCCAGATTCTCTGAATCTTTTAATGATATTATGTACCGTAGATGACGTAAAGCAAAAGTTTGTTTGTTTTACATTTTGCACAGCACCTCAACTTTTTTGGAAATGGGGTTGTAAAAATAATCTACATTTTTATTAAAATATTGATGAATACACTGGTAATATTGATCAGATATTTTAATAATGACATAGTAGACTGTCTACATTATAGGAAGTATTCACTCCTTGGAAATATTTGTGTTTCATTAATATAGAACATTGAATCAGAGAGTGTTTAATTTTTTACACAGATCAACAGAAGCAAACAACTTAATGTCAAAATGAAAAGAGATCCCTGCAAAGAGATTTAAATTAATTACAAATGTAAAACACAAAGTCCTTGATTGCATAAGCATTTATTTCCACCAAGCTGGTTTTGAGTAGACACACTTTAGAAAAAAGTCAAAACCTTGAGTCTGTTGCTAAGGAATGATTAATATATTATATTTTCATATTCCAGAAACCTAAGCACTTTCAAACAATCTCAAACACTCCCAAACACAAGTATTTGTTGTTGTTGTGGTCTGTGTCAACTATTAGAAACGATGATTATGATTGATGAAGGAATCTGGCAGTCAAACAACATTTTGAACAAAATTTTATTGAAACATTTGCAAACATTAAAAATATGTTGTCTGTGTGCATTTCTCAGATTTGATCACTATATACAAACAAGAACTGGAGAAGAAATTTTGCAGGTTTAATGAAGGAATCTCCCAGCATGGAAGATCAACCCTTCTGAGTGAGATCTACACAGAACTCTACATCACAGAGGGATTGAGTGGAGAGGTCAATAATGAACATGAGGTCAGACAGATTGAGGCAGCATCCAGGAGACCAGCAACACAGGAGAAACCCATCAAATGCAATGACCTCTTTAAAGACAGACCCATCAGAACTGTGCTGACTACAGGAGTTGCTGGAATTGGAAAAACAGTCTCAGTGCAGAAGTTCATTCTGGACTGGGCTGAAGGAAAAGCAAACCAGGACGTCCACTTCATATTTCCACTTCCTTTTAGGGAACTCAGTTTGATAAAGGAAAGGCTCAAGCTGATGGAGCTTCTTCATTGCTTTTTCCCAGAAATAAAAGAACTGAGATCAGTAGACAGTAATGCCCACAGAGTCATGTTCATTTTTGATGGTCTGGATGAGTGTCGACTTCCTCTAGATTTCCAGAACAATGAGAGCTTGTGGAATGTAACAGATTCAGCCTCAGTGGATGTGCTGCTGACAAACCTCATCAAGGGGAACCTGCTTCCCTCTGCTCTCCTCTGGATAACCTCTCGACCAGCAGCAGCAAATCAGATCCCTCCTGAATGTGCTGACCTGGTAACAGAGGTACGAGGGTTCAGTGACCCTCAGAAAGAGGAGTACTTCAGGAAGAGAATCAGTGACCAGAGCCTGGCCAATAAAATCATCTCACACATGAAGTCCTCAAGAAGCCTCTACATCATGTGCCACATCCCAGTCTTCTGTTGGATTACAGCCACTGTTCTAGAGAGAGTGTTGGGTGGAGCAGAGAGTGGAGAGATCCCCAAGACTCTGACTCAAATGTTCACCCACTTCCTGATCTTTCAGATCAAACACAAGGACCAAAAGTACCATGGGAAATGTGACACTGATCCTCAGCAGACTAGAAAGATGATTCTGGCAGTGGGAAAACTGGCTTTGCAACAGCTGGAAAAAGGCAACCTGATCTTCTGTGAGGAAGACCTGAGAGAGTGTGGTATTGATGTCAGAGAAGTGTCAGTGTGCTCAGGAGTTTGTACCCAGATCTTCAGAGAGGAGTTTGGGCTGCACCTGGGGAAGGTGTTCAGCTTTGTGCACCTGAGTGTTCAGGAGTTTCTGGCAGCTTTATATGCATTTCTCTGTTTCATCAGCAGAAATAAAACAAAACCACTGACCACTGATCTCTCTGTCATTTTCAAAAAGTCAAAAATGTCAGACTTCCTCAAGTCTGCAGTAGACAAGGCCTTAAAAAGTAAGAATGGACACCTGGACCTTTTCCTCCGCTTCCTTCTGGGCCTCTCACTGGAGTCCAATCAGACTCTCTTACAAGGCCTATTGACCCAGACAGGAAGCAGCTCTCACAACAAAAAGGAAACAGTCCAGTACATTAAGGAGAAGATCAGGAAGAATCCCTCTCCAGAGAAATCCATCAATCTGTTCCACTGTCTGAATGAACTGAATGATCATTCTCTAGTGCAGGAAGTGCAAACATACCTGAGTAAAAGCAGTTACGACCGTCTCTGTGGAGCTAAGCTCTCTCCTGCTCAGTGGTCAGCTCTGGTGTTTGTGTTGCTGAACTCAGAAGAGGAGCTGGATGAGTTTGACCTGAGTAAATATAACAAGTCACAGGAATGTCTGCGTAGACTTCTACCAGTGATCAAAGCATCTAGAAAAGCTGTGTGAGTATTTTTAGTCATAAAGATGTTACTACACTTTAATCACTTTACAACAAATCACTGGATGTTTTATCACTGTTCCGCTTTGTGCACTGGAGTATGAAAAATAAACAAAAGTAAAGTGGAAATGACATGTCGATGTGCTTTTCATGAAGGAAAATTAAAATCTCATTTGGCCACCCTGGGGATGCATTTTAGTGAAAAGCGTAAATAGAATCCTGCCAAAGTTTATCCAGATATGATCCAGACATGAAACATATGTCAATGCAAGGTGTAAACCCATCTATGACTACAGTGTTGTGTATTCAACATTTCACATATTGTGCTGCTCTAAATCCTATTAAACAGGACTAGTGTTATGCTCTCTATGTTACGATGAAGTTGGGAAGTGTTTCAACGTACTGGCAATATCCACAGTAAACTCAGAAAAGCTAATTGTGGTGTAATTTATCATGATAGTGATAAATATTTGTTACATTGGTGTTCAATTCTATTTTAGTATTCACAAGCTTCGTCTTTTTTTTCATGCCAAAATTTTTATTGGCATAAAAATCGTTGTATCCTGATCTACAAGAAGGTTCATCAGCCATTAAAAAACAGGGAAAGTTACTACATGGAAAATGTTAAAAGTAAATAAATTTAAGCATACCCACCACCTCACCTCAGAGTGGCAAAAACTGCACCACTTTGTACATGAACATTGAGGCTAAAAAAGCAAAGATGCCAGAGAAATCACATGTCGGAACACTTTTAATTATCAAATGATAGGAGACACATTCAAACAATCTCAGTAGCTTAGTTTTGCTACTTGCTACAGAGGTAACTGTTTATCAGTGATGATGCAAATACATTGGTTGGTTCAAGCAATGATACAAAAATGTAAAACAATAAATGATGATAAAAATAAAAACATTCATGAAAGTGAAATGTATCTTGAGCCTTTACTTATCGAATAGTTGAATATTCAAGATTAAAGTTGATAGTATATTCAAAAATTACAATATTTTATAGTTGCAGCCCTTTTATAAAATATATAAACATAAATGTTATTTTTCAGAGTATTCAGGTACTCACTTGGAAATACTAATGAATATTCAAAGCCTGTGAAATGCTGTTAAGGACAGCGTTAAATATTTATTATAGTATAACATATCAGTGTTACTCATTGTGTCTGTGTGTGTGTGTGAGAGAGAGGGGGGGGGCAGTGATCTGATATATTGTCATTCTTTCCCCAGGCTGAGTGACTGTAATCTCACAAAGAAAAGCTGTGCAGCTCTGTCTTCAGCTCTCAGCTCAGAGAACTCTAGTCTGAGAGATCTGGACCTGAGTCACAATAAACTAAAGAATTCAAGAATGAAGCTTCTCTCTGCTGGACTGGAGAATCCACACTGTAAACTGGAGATACTGAGGTGAGGTCATCACTTGTTTTCTTATGATGCAGATCACATCCACCTCCACACACAACTCCCCACAATCACTTCCTCACTAAACAAATCCCTCACACACTTATCTTTTGGTGTGTCTGTTTTTATAATATCCAGATGTGCATGTTTTTATTAATATGAGGGCAAAACAGCACGCAGGAGTGATAAAGTGACCATTTGCAGTTGCATGTATTATTTATGTGTTATATCAACAGAAAAAAGTTAATGTTTGAACTAGTACAAGATTGAATCCACAGAGATACAGTCAAAAATAGGATGAAACCTTAAAGTATAGCAACTCACACATAACAGATATGAACACCTACTTTACTGTAGGTTAGTGTTCAAAAAGCTACATGACAAATACATCAGCCTTTCATGACAATTGATATAAACCTACATAAACATTCATGAAGTCTTATTCCAGTGAGCAGCAGTTGTTTAAAGTTGTTAAAGGCTGATTTTGTAAACTTCCATGTCAAACTGACGTAACACCCACATCGAGTGACACAGGTTTTTGTTGACATTAGATTGTGTCATGAAACTTCCTGGGGTGAAATGACACAGCAGAGCGATTTCACTGTCATTAGCTTAGCTGTGGTTTAGATTTTAGCCTGATTGACATGGGGTCTTAAACTGTCAATCCTGTCTTCTCAGCAGCTGCAGTTTAAAGTGGATCTGGGGTTTAAACTAAACCCCATTGCTGTGTCTTTTAAAAATCACACCATTAAAAATCTGCCATTAGGTGGTGCTGTATCAGGTTTAACTGAGGTTTATCTTAAATCTGCCAAAGACTTATAAGGTTTATGGCAAGATTACTGTAATTGAAGCTTAGATGTTTGAATATTTTATACCTTCTTGTGGAAGTATGTCTTGTGGACTTCATGGCATGTTTAAATTGATTAAATACAATATTGTTTAACACACTGAGATGTCATATTCAACTAGAGGGAGGGTTAATCACTGCAGTCTTTATTAGGCTTTTTTAGAAGGTATTGTTGCAAAAGCTAAAAATGACCCGTGTTTAGGTGATTACTATTACTGAGTCAAAGGGGAAACAGTAGGAGACACACATCTCATCTTAGCAAACATTTATTCTTTGTTTCCCCACCACTTCACGCAAGAAAAGGAAGAAAGAATGAAACAGTGCAGTAGCCAGGCTGATCAATTCAAAACAATATGCAATGACTGCTAAGTGTCTTACCTGCAGTGTCTTCAGTCAGGGTCAGTGTGCAGTACTGATGTCAGACAGCTGTGCAGCTCCTTGTGAGTGTGGGACATGGGGCTTGACCCGGTCAATCACCAAATTGTGGAGTAGTACACAAATGAGTATGATGCTGCTTGCCCCATGTGGGTGAGGCAAGGGCAAGTAAAGCGGGCAGCACTTCACCGTAAGCCCCTAAACTCAAGTCCAGTCATTCCACCCACTCAATGTCATTTAGTTTCATGTTGACTAATCCTTTAAAATGTGCTGTGAATACTTGAGTGAGTGGCTACTTGGTTTTAGTTGATGTGTTTTAAATTGCGACTAGTAGAAATAAAAGTCATAATGTTGTACACAGATCCAGTGACATGCTAAGACTTTGTGTAATTTCCTTTTTGATCTTGGTACAAACTTGTGGAGTTCACGGCAGCTTGAGTGCACGTTGAGGGGGACATACTGCATCAAATACTGAAAAATTCTGAAATTCATTCATATTTGAAAGATTCTACTTTGTATTTATTGTTATAATTGGATAACGTCATTTGTAATGAAAAATGTTGTAATGGGTTAGAAAAACAATGTAAAATAGAAGAATTTTCACTAGTCTCAGACCCCACTGTGTGTGTGTACATATACACACACCCACACACACACATACACATACACACATGCACACACACACTCATACAGTACCATTCAAACGTTTGGACACACCTTCTCATTCAGTGTTTTTTCAGTATTTTTATTATTTTCTACATTGTAGATTAAAATCAAGACATCAAAACTATGAAGGGACACATATGGAATTATGTAGTAAATGAAAAATGTTAAACAAATCAGAATGTTTTACACTTTAGATTGTTCAAAGTAGCCACTTTTGCTTTGATGACAACTTTGCACACTCTTGGCATTCTCTCAGCTTGATGAGGTCACCTGGAATGGTTTTAATTAAAAGCTGTTAATTAATTTAGATGGTACACTTCCTTTATAGTTTTGATGTAAGTATATATAATATATATTTAATATAATATATATAATTCTATTTATTTTCATGCACAGAAGAAACATTAGTTATCATCACACTGCACAGCTAGGACAGAGAAAAACAAATAAGTAAACAGAAGAAAACAGTAAAAAGTTACTGTGAAATACAATGACACCGAGAATTATCAGTAAAAAGAAACAAGATACTTATTGTATGAGAAAAATAAAGTTGCTTTGAAAAAAAAACACTTCTCATTGCATATATACGTAAAGTAATATATGAAGTAAAAAATAGTAAAAAAAAAAATACCCATTTAAATGTCTAACATTACTAATTTTTTGAACTCAAGAAAAATTCTGTATTTTTCTCATCAGTGCAATAAAATGTAATATGTAAAAATGTCTAAAATGTGGACATCCAAAGCACAAACATAAGATAAGATGGTAACACTTTCTATGAATATCACATTTGTAAGCATCTATAAACACATTTTTAACATGTTATAATGCATTCATATGGCTTTATAAACATGATTATAAACATTTATAAAAATGAATTACACTTTATAGCCATGTTTATTATACATTATGAATTGTTAATATAATGCATTATAAGTAGTGTTGATAACATGTTATACTGTCAGTGCGAATGAAGTCAGTCCCAGCTTGGAGAGCGTAAAGACAAATACCAAGCTAACGGTGGTGAACATTACCTTTCCCACATTGGGTAAAACACTGATGGCAGCTCTAGTTTAAACTCTGACATTTGAAGCCTGTAATGTGCTTTACTGTGAATGTTTTAGTGTTTCAGTAAATCCTTCAGTAAATACTTCAACTTGTAGCCTCACTCTTAACACTGGAGGAGGCTTTAGTACAGTACGCTTCACTTTCCTTAGAGTGGACAAATACGACTTACGAGCTCTTATAATGTGTTATGAACAATTCATAATGCATAATAAGCATGGCTATAATGTGTAATGCATTTTTAATAAATATTTATTGCCATGTTTATAATGCCTTATGAATGCATTATAACATATTATGAATGTGTTTATAGATGCTTACAAAGGTGACATTCATAGAAAGTTTTACCGATAAGATTCACATGAGGACATACAGAGAAGAAAATAAGCTCACCTTATCACAAGTACGTGGCTCATATGTTGCTCCTCAGAAAGACAACAGTGTTTGTTGAAAGGAAAAGTGGCACGAGTCATTTTCACGACATCAAATAAAAATAATAATAGTGCCAAATGTATATTACATTTTGCACATATCCATTTAGCAAACGTGTGTTATTAGAGCTAATAATAATAAAAGTAAATAAAAAATGTGTGAACTTTCAGGCTACAACTCAAAATTAAACAAAGTGCATTTACTGTCAGATCTAAATGTTTGTATATTTAATGTGGTTCAGAATCCAGAACTTTTGACAGCTGAGCAGCTCTTAGAAGCTGTAAACATCCCTGTAGAGCTCCTCGTTTTGCTCTTTCAGATTCAGCACTTGGCGGTTGTTGTAATCCTGTATGGAGAAGCTGCAGCTGAGACTCATGTTTTCTCCTCACTCTGATAAATCAGACATTCAGTGAAGTCTTCACAAATGAGTTAGCATATCTGAGGTTTAGCATGGCTATCTGATACTCTGGTGCAGTGTCACTGCACTCTCACCGTTCAGTCAGTCACTCTTTACTCACCATCCTTGTACTCGACTTTTAAACTGAAGTGTTTCCAAACAGGAGATTAATGCTATTTCACTTCCCTTCTTCCAGCTAAAGCTCGTTCTCTCTGCTCGCCATTTCAAACAGCTCAGCTTATCAACCATCCAAGGTAGACAAAAATGAAGGTAGCTTCTTATTCACCTTCTTGCTTGAATTTTCTCAGGTGCCAGAGTGTAACTGCTGCACCAGTTAAGGTGAACAGAAAATTCAGGTAAGAAGCTGGAGAATAAGAAGTTAAGTTCAACTTCATCCAAAGTGGACTAACCAAACCATTTTTTTCCAGTTCAGAGAGCTACACAGAGGAGTTTATGTTTGTATTTATCAGTTTTAGGGATGTCATGGATTCTTTTAAAAAGAACTATAGAAAACATTTCTGTTATCCTGTTATTGTATAGCATGAAGTCTAGCTGTATTTGATCGTATGATCTCAAGATGCCCATTTAAAAAATAAGTATATTAACACATCAGGACACTCCTATATTAACCTCTCATCTCATGTGACTTCGACCTAATATATCAGAGTCAGAAAAAACATTTTTCTCTTAAAATGAAACCGCGCCATATAGTGGCCATATAATGGAATAGTCAGTACATAAAAGAAGAACCATCAGGACCACTGTCTCTCAACCAAAGTAAGTGTGAGAGAGAGAGAGGCAGGGATACAGTTAAGGTGTGTGTGTGTGTGTGATGTGATCAGTAGAGTGTGAGTGATGTGATCAGTAGAGTGTGTGTGTGTGTGTGTATGATGTGATCAGTAGAGTGTGTGTGTGTGTGTATGATGTGATCAGTAGAGTGTGAGTGATGTGATCAGTAGAGTGTGTGTGTGTGTGTGTATGATGTGATCAGTAGAGTGTGAGTGTGTGTGTGTATGATGTGATCAGTAGAGTGTGTGTGTGTGTGTGTATGATGTGATCAGTAGAGTGTGAGTGTGTGTGTGTATGATGTGATCAGTAGAGTGTGAGTGATGTGATCAGTAGAGTGTGTGTGTGTGTGTGTATGATGTGATCAGTAGAGTGTGTGTGTGTGTATGATGTGATCAGTAGAGTGTGAGTGATGTGATCAGTAGAGTGTGTGTGAGTGATGTGATCAGTAGAGTGTGTGTGTGATGTGATCAGTAGAGTGTGTGTGATGTGATCAGTAGAGTGTGTGTGTGTGTGTATGATGTGATCAGTAGAGTGTGTGTGTGTGTGTATGATGTGATCAGTAGAGTGTGAGTGTGTGTGTGTATGATGTGATCAGTAGAGTGTGAGTGTGTGTGTGTATGATGTGATCAGTAGAGTGTGTGTGTGTGTGTATGATGTGATCAGTAGAGTGTGAGTGATGTGATCAGTAGAGTGTGTGTGAGTGATGTGATCAGTAGAGTGTGTGTGTGATGTGATCAGTAGAGTGTGTGTGAGTGATGTTATCAGTAGAGTGTGTGTGTGATGTGATCAGTAGAGTGTGTGTGTGTGATGTGATCAGTAGAGTGTGTGTGTGTGATGTGATCAGTAGAGTGTGTGTGTGTGATGTGATCAGTAGAGTGTGTGTGAGTGATGTGATCAGTAGAGTGTGTGTGAGTGATGTGATCAGTAGAGTGTGTGTGTGTGATGTGATCAGTAGAGTGTGTGTGTATGATGTGATCAGTAGAGTGTGAGTGATGTGATCAGTAGAGTGTGTGTGTGTGATGTGATCAGTAGAGTGTGTGTGTGATGTGATCAGTAGAGTGTGAGTGTGTGATGTGATCAGTAATGTGTGTGTGATGTGATCAGTAGAGTGTGTGTGATGTGATCAGTAGAGTGCGTGTGTGATGTGATCAGTAATGTGTGTGTGATGTGATCAGTAGAGTGTGTGATGTGATCAGTAGAGTGTGTGATGTGATCAGTAGAGTGCGTGTGTGATGTGATCAGTAGAGTGTGAGTGTGTGATGTGATCAGTAATGTGTGTGTGATGTGATCAGTAGAGTGTGTGTGATGTGATCAGTAGAGCGTGTGGGTGAGTGATGTGATCAGTAGAGTGCGTGTGTGATGTGATCAGTAATGTGTGTGTGATGTGATCAGTAGAGTGTGTGATGTGATCAGTAGAGTGCGTGTGTGATGTGATCAGTAGAGTGTGAGTGTGTGATGTGATCAGTAATGTGTGTGTGATGTGATCAGTAGAGTGTGTGTGATGTGATCAGTAGAGCGTGTGGGTGAGTGATGTGATCAGTAGAGTGCGTGTGTGATGTGATCAGTAGAGCTTGTGTGGGTGAGTGATGTGTTCAGTAGAGTGTGTGAGTGATGTGATCAGTAGAGCGTGTGTGGGTGAGTGATGTGATCAGTAGAGTGTGTGAGTGATGTGATCAGTAGAGTGTGTGTGGGTGAGTGATGTGATCAGTAGAGTGTGTGTGAGTGATGTGATCAGTAGTGTGTGTGTGTGTGTGTGTGATGTGATCAATAGAGTGCGTGTGGGTGATGTGATCACTAGAGTGTTTGTGTGTGTGATGTGATCAGTAGAGCGTTTGTGTGTGTGATGTGATCAGTAGAGTGTGTGTGGGTGATGTGATCACTAGAGCATTTGTGTGAGTGATGTGATCAGTAGTGTGAGGATTTTTTCTCCTCTCTGCAGGCTGAAGCACTGTAGTATTACAGGTGACAGCTGTGTTACTCTGTGTAAAGCTCTAAAATCAAACCCATCTCACCTGAGAGTGCTGGACCTGAACTTCAATAAACCAGGAGAGTCAGGAGTGAAGGAGCTCTCTGATCTACTGGAGAATCCACACTGTAAACTGGAGAAACTAGAGTGAGTTGCTGACTTACTGTCTCTACACACACACACACACACACACACACACACACACACAGACACACACATACATACACACACACACACACACACACAGATACTCACACAAACAATTTCACAGTTTCAGCGTTACTTTCTATCAACCAAAATATATGTGTGTGTGTGTGTGAGTGAGTGAGAGAGAGAGAGAAAGAGAGAGAGAAGAGAGAGAGAGAGAGAGAGAGAGACAGTAAGGATGTGTGGACAGATCAGGGTGCAAAAAAACTAATTGGGAAATTAAGATGATTCCTAAAGACTATGTTATAAACATAACATCTTACATATCATCACTGTCACAACAAAACTTTGTATCTTGAAACTGATAACTTTACTGGAGAAGGCAAAACGTTCTTACTTTTGAACGGTAGTCAACTGAACTAGATTTTTAAAGTAATTTTGGAACATTTCTATTGGTCAGCTTATCATGAAATTTCAGAATATTGTAAAGAGCAGCTCTCATTTTCAAATTCTGTCCAAAACAACAATATATGTCAAATTCTATCCAAAACAACACAAATGGAGACAGGAGGTTTTGTTCTGACAGCAGCAATATGAAACTACTCCAGAATAATCCGCCAACCAAAATATCCAGCTGACAGTGGTCCTGTAGTCTAAACTGACCGCTGATAAAGAACTAGAGCACAGTAGAACTGGTGAAAAGTCCACCTAAGAATTGTTCATTCTTAGCATATCTTAGCATTCTAAAGCCATATCCATATCCTAAAGCACACATCCGTATATCCAAATGCATATATGAAAAAATAGATATAGGAGATATTTAATCAATGCCATATTTGACTCTGTGCTGTTTTGTGGTGGTAATGGTGACAATTTTGTTATGCTGAGAGAGGGGGATACACTTTGTGTGATTGTGTGTGTGTATGTGTGTGAGAGAGTGTGTGTTTATCTAGAAATATGAGTTTTTATTCTCTCTGCAGACTGTGGGACTGTAGTATTACAGATGAAGGCTGTGTTGCTCTGTTTAATGCTCTAAAATCAAACCCATCTCACCTGAGACAGCTGAACCAGGACTACAATAAACCAGGAGAGTCAGGAGTGAAGAAGCTCTCTGATCTACTGGAGGATCCACATTGTAAACTGGAGAAACTACAGTGAGTTACAGACTTACTGTCTCCACACACACACACACACACACACACACATACACACACACACACAGTATCTTTATCTGTCTCTCTCACACACACATTCTCACAGACACATACACATACTAATACAGATACACACTTTGTGTGTATTTGAGTGTGTGTGTGTTTGTGTTGATCTGTAAGTTTGAGTTCTTCTCTCTGCAGGCTGTTTAACTGCAGTATTACAGAAGAAGGCTGTGCTGCTCTGTTTAAAGCTCTAAAATCAAAGTGTGTGTGTGATGTGATCAGTAATGTGTGTGTGATGTGCTCAGTAGAGCGTGTGTGTGATGTGATCAGTAGAGCGTGTGTGATGTGATAGAGAGTGTGTGTGATGTGATCAGTAGTGTGTGTGTGTGTGATGTGATCAGTAGAGCGTGTGTGATGTGATAGAGAGTGTGTGTGATGTGATCAGTAGTGTGTGTGTGATGTGATCAGTAGAGCGTGTGTGATGTGATCAGTAGTGTGTGTGTTTGATGTGATCAGTAGAGTGTGTGTGATCACACTCTCTGTCTTCTCTCTGCAGGCTGTTTAACTGCAGTATTACAGAAGAAGGCTGTGTTGCTCTGTTTAAAGCTCTAAAATCAAACCCATCTCACCTGAGAGAGCTGGAACTCAACCACAATAAATCAGGAGAGTCAGGAGTGAAGGAGCTCTCTGATCTACTGGAGGATCCACACTGTAAACTGGAGAAACTAGAGTGAGTTGCTGACTTACTGTCTCTACACACACACACACACACACACACACAAATATACACAAGTATGTAGTTTTAATATTACACAGTGACTGACATTAACCTTTTTCTGAGATTTTATAAAACATAGAAATTGGAACATGATAATAATAGTAATATTAATAATTTTCTGTCTAAAACCTGATGACATGTTATTATTTCAGCAATACACAAACAAAACCACAAACAGAACATAGAACACATACACATACAGTCTCTATCTCTGCTGTTTACCATTCAGACAGTGGAGATAGCGGTGGCGAGGGGCGAGGACACAAACTAGTTAGCTCGTCGAGAGGAAGTTTCTGAGTGTGAAAGATTTACATTTACTGCATTTAGCAAACGTTCTTATCCAGAGCAAATTACAAGAAGTGCTTTGTCTATCTGGAGAAAGTATCTTTGCTAGTTGCCAATAGATTAGAGAGAAAGCCAGTCCTGAGCTCAGATACTGCTAGAAACAAAAAGTCACTGTTGAGTTAAACACAGAACAGTGCAATACAATACAATACAATTAATACATAATATAGTGCTCATTTAAGTGCTGTAAAAAGAGACGGTCTTCAGTCTGCATTTGTAAACAGTAAAAGACTCAGTTGTACGGACAGCCAGTGGGAGTTCCTTCCACCACCTGGGTGCCAGTACAGAGAACAGTCTTGATGCTTGTCTTCCACGCACGGTGAAGGATGGCAGGTCAAGCCGAGCTGTACTCGAAGCTCGAAGGGCTCATGGTACAGTTCAAGATTTCACCATTGCCATCAAGTAGGTAGGGGCTGGTTCATTTTTGGCTTTGTAGGCAAGCATTAGGGTTTTAAATCTGATGCAGCTACAGGAAGCCAGTGAAGGGAGCGCAGCAGTGGGGTGACGTGGCTGAACTTGGGGAGATTGAAGACGAGCCGTGCTGCTGCATTCTGGATAAGGTGCAGAGGCCTGCATGGGAAGACCAGCCAAGAGTGAGTTGGAGTAGTCAAGCCTTGAGATGACAAGAGACTGCACTAGCAGACAAGAGACTGCACTATCACCTGGGGTGCCTCTCGAGTGAGAAAGGGTCAGATCCACTGGATGTTGTCCGAGTTAGGTTCACGATGTGAGCTGAGAACAATAACTGGCCATCCAGAATCACATCAAGACTTCTTGCCTCTTCAGACGGAACAATCAGAGAGTTCTCGAATGAGATGGTGAGATCATGATGTGGACCTGTAGTTGCAGGGGTGAATAGCAGCTCAGTCTTGCTAGCATTGAGCTTCAGGTGGTGAGCTGCCATCCATGAAGAGATGTCAGACAGACATGCCGAGATGTGACTGGAAACCTGTGTGTCATAGGGTGAGAAAGAAGGCATTAGTTGAGTGTCATCAGCATAACAGTGATAAGAGAAGCCATGAGATGATATTACATCACCAAGAGAGCTAGTGTAAAGAGAAAAGAGAAGCGGACCTAGCACCAAGCCTTGTGGGACACCAGTGGAGAGCCTACATGGAGAGAATTTGGACCCTCTCCATGTTACCTGATAAGAGCGATCCTCCAGATAGGACTTGAACCACTTCCATGCGTAGCCAGTGATTCCAAGGTTGGTGAGGATGTCCAGAAGGATTGTATGGTTGACTGTGTCAAAAGCTGCTGAGAGGTCAAGAAGAATCAGGACAGATGACAGTTTGGCTGATCTTGCTGACTGGAGCTTCTTGGTCACTGCTATAAGAGCAGTTTCAGTTGAGTGCGCTGGTTTGAAGCCAGACTGGTTGGGGTCCTGGAGCTGGTTCTGTGTGAGAAAGAGAGAGTTGATTATAGACTGCACATTCAAGAATTTTTGAAAGGAAAGAAAGGAGTGATACCGGTCTGTAATTGTTGACATCAGAGCTGTTAAACGTGGGTTTCGTCAGGATGGGAAGTACTCTTGCAGTCAAGCAAACCTGTGCCACCACCCCTGCCGGACTGTCTCGGAGAATGGGAGAAGTGAAAGGCAGAGGACAGGGCTGCTGGAGTCGCCGAGTTCATGGGAGTGATCCAAGTCTCCATCAACTCCAGAAAGTGCAGTGAATTGAAGGATGCGAGGGCTGAAATGAAGTCTGTCTTCTGCACAGCGGATTGGCAATTCCAAAGCCCACCTGCCACACTGGTCTGAGATTCTGATGACCGTGGGGGATAGGTGAGGTTAAAGGAATTACAGGTCCTGCGATGATGAAGCGTTCTATGTGATCTGTGGGATGAGTAAACAGGTATTGTAAAGCACATGTTGGACGCAACAAGAGAGTAATTAGGACATAAAGAGGTAATGAAGGATAACAAAGTGATACTTAGCCAACGTTCAGCAGTCACATCTCTGTTGATGATGGATGAGGGTTGCTACAGACCACTACATACAAGCTTATTACTAACAGATTTAGAATCTGTTAGTAATAAGCTTGTATGTAGTGGTCTGTAGCAACCCTCATCCAGAGAAAGTCTCAATTCAGAGCTTACATTTACCAATAGAAAGACAATATTCAATTAGCAGACAAGCAAAATTAGGCCACACTGTAAACTGAAGAAACTAGTGACTGTCTTGTGTGTATAACACAGACACACACTCACACACAACTACTCACAGATACACCAGTCAACCAACATGTATGTGTGTTATGTATGAGAGAAATATACATTAAATGTATAAAGTGGTGTGTGTGTGTGAGAGAGAGTTTATGTTGAGCTGTAAGTGTGGTGAGTTTTTCTGCTTCTCTCTGCAGGCTGCGTAACTGCAGTATTACAGGTGAAGGCTGTGCTGCTCTGTTTAAAGCTCTAAAATCCTCATCTCACCTGAGAGAGCTGGACCTGAGCGACAATAAACCAGGAGAGTCATTAAAGAAGGAGCTTCCTGATCTACTGAAGGATCCACACTGTAAACTGGAGAAACTAGAGTGAGTTACTAACTTACTGTCTCAATTTTTGTATATTACTAATGTGTGTGTTAAATCAAATCAAATCAGATTTATTGTCACATCACAAGAGTACAGGGACACAGGTGAGTGAAAAACTTGAGTGCGAGTTCCACGAATTATGCAGAGAACAGTATTTACACATAGATAAACAAAACTATAGATAGGATAGAAGAATAAACCAGTAACATTTAGTGCAAAAAGAGTTAAAAACAAACACAAAAACAACAAAAAACTGCAAAAGTAAGCGGGAGCTCGCAACACGGCAGCCATACTCGGCGCCATCTTGAATTAATCGTAA